CGGGGGCGGGGGGTGAAGCGGCGCAGACATGGCAGCGCAGCCCCGTTTGGTGGGTAAGGGGAGAGCAACCGACGTCGTCTACCTGGGCTTGTGCAAAGAGTTTGACACTGCCCCACTCGGCGTCCTCATCTCTAAACTGGAGAGACACGGAACCGAGGGGTGGCCCACTTGGTGGGTAAGGAACTGGCGGGATGGCCGCACTCAGAGTTGTGGTCAACAACTCCACGTCCGAGTGGAGACCAGTAATGAGTGGCGTTCCTCAGGGGCGGTACTGGGACCAGTGTTGTTTAACATCTTCGTTGGCAACATCGATGTTGGGATGGAGTGCACCCTGCGCAAGTCTGCCAGTGACACCAAGCAGTGTGGTGCGATCTGGAGGGAAGGGATGCCATCCAGAGGGACCTGGACAGGCTGGAGAGGTGGGCCCGTGCAAACCTCATGAAGTTCAACCAGGCCAAGTGCAAGATTCTGCATCTTGGCCTGAACAATCCCATGCACAAATCCAGGCTGGGCGGAGAATGAATCGAGAAGAGCCCAAAGAAGAAGGACTTGTGGGTGTTGGCTGATGAGAAGCTCACCAAGAGCCGGCAATGTGCGATCGCAGCCCAGAAGGCCAACCACATCCTGGGATGCATCAAAAGATACATGGCCAGCAGGTCAAGAGGTCAAAGGAGGTGATTCTGCCCCTTTACTCCACTCTCGTGAGACCCCACCTGGAGTACTGCATCCACCTCTGGAGTCCCCAACATAAGAAGGACATGGACCTCCTGGAGTGTGTCCGTTGGGGCTGTTCAGCCTGGAGAAGAGAAGGCTCCGGGGAGATCTTATTGCGGCCTTTCAGTACCTAAAAGGGGCTCCAGGAGAGCTGGGGAAGGACTTTTTACTGGGGCATGTAGTGATAGAATGAGGGGGAATAGCTTCAAACTGGAAGAGGGAAGATTTAGATTAGATATTAGGGAGAAATTCTTGACTGTGCGGGTGGTGAGCCCCTGGCGCAGGTTGCCCCGAGAAGCTGTGGCTGCCCCATCCCTGGAGGTGTTCAAAGCCAGGTTGGACGGGGCTTGGAGCAACCTGGGCTGGTGGGAGGTGTCCTTGCCCAGGGCAGGGGGCTGAAACTCAATGATCTTCAAGGTCCCTTCCAACCCAAAGCATTCTGTGATTCTATGATCTGTTGCGGACAGTCCGGGCTCTCATCAGGGAGTACCGGGGCAGCAACTGCCTGGCTGCAGCTGGCTGTATTTCAGAAGCCGGGGTGACCCTATCAGCCACCCCTGCTTCTGCTAAAAACTCAGGGAAACCGAGAAACAAAACAGTGCTGGGATTCTGCTGGAGGATAATCTTACAAGACTGTAACCAAGTAGTCAACAGTTACATTCATGGGCTCACACGTGAAGGGGAACCAAAGCAGGAATTTCTCAATTATTAAATGGATAGTAGAGTTTTCCTAGACAGCATTTTAATGGAAAAAAAACCCAGCGTTCAAGACATGTATTCTCTTTCTCTGACCCATTTCTGTAAGTCGTCATTTTTCGGCTAACTGATAAGCAATGAAAATTACAAGCTGTGACTGTGTGAGCAGAAGTTTGCTGGAATATAAACAATTCAGCGTAGTGCTTGAGCTGCAAAGGAGCTGGAGTGATTTCCAGCCAGCTGGCAGACTGGGGGTCTGAAAACTGACAAAATTCGTCAACCAACTTCAGAGAGTATGACAGTGGATATAATAGTCAAACACGTTAGAGTGGTGTTGAAGATGAATTAGCAAACTGCAAAACTGGTCCGAAATTTTGAGTGGAAAAATCTAGTAAGCTGCCTTTCAGCCAAGGCTGAGGGTTCAGGTACGCGCCTTCCAAGTCTTCCAGCAACTCCCACTTCCTTAGGACTTTTCTTAACATACTATGTATGTAAACATACATAAACTATTGTTTTGCTAGTTTTTTTCAAAGATCAGCTTAAGTAAATCACATAAACCCAAATCTCGTTAACCCAAAGTTAATGATTTAAGGCTTTTTGTGTCCCATTCTTATATCCAACTCTGAGAAGCAGGAAAGTTAATGACAGGTGTAGTATATAACGATGATACTGTTTTAAATCTAAGGTATGCAATACCTTATTAGTATTTCAAAGGACTATCCAAAGTTGTACATTTGAGGCCTGAAGAAACTCTTACCTCCATCTTCCCATCTGTCACTATCCACTTGCGTTGAGCCGCGGGCTCTTTACCTGAAAGGCCAAAATATGCGCCCGTGAGTTCGGTAATATGGTAACAACACAGACTAGAGAGCATCTGTAGCTTACGATGCTGACTAAATAGCTATTGTAACAAATCATTCCTGGAAACATGAGATTAAATGTGACAAACAGACGCTGAAAGAATTTCCACCAATGAAATAATATTTTTGCTACCACAAACTTTGGAGCTACACCTAGCCTGAAGCTTTTCGGCCAGACTGAGTCCTCCTTTTGTGAACAGAGCTTTTCTAGCAAAACTTCTCAGGTTAAACAAAGCCTCAGTTTTGTTCTCTCTAAACTGTGTCTTAGTGTGCCCGGGACGCTTGCATTGCAGCACAGATCCCTCAGCACAGTCAATTTGTCTTTGTACCTGTGCCCTTAGAGAGCTATTTTCTCCTCCCTGGCTTTTTGCTGTATCTGCTGCAGCAGCTCCCCTTTGAGTTGTTGACTGTACTGGCTGGGAGCCGTATGTGGCCGCTAAGCAAAATTGGCTCTGTAATGACTGTGTTTGTTTTTATCAACAACTGTATTATGGCTTCTTTTAATTTGATTTAATTTTATGTTTAATGAAAGTTAAAATAAATGTAAAAATGTGGAGAATAGTGCTCACTACCGCCAACTAATTCATTATTTAATCATCATTTTAATTAAATATAAATGTGTATGTACTGTCGGGGAACAGCGGCTTGTATGAAAGCTGTGTTTCACTGATGGCAATTTGAATTCAGACTATGGGATTGCAAAGTGAAATAACGTGGTTTCAAGCCAGAGAGTGCACAAATCATTCTTCCAGCCACCAGCGTGCATCTCCTCATTGTTATTTCAGTTGCCGAGGACTGGTACCCATACACTGTCCAACAGCTTTCTCCAAAGAAGTGCAGGCTTCTGTCTGTACTGACTGCCCCCAGGAGCGGAAGATGCTCCGTACTACCCTGGAGTAGTCCATTAGCAACATCAGTATTGTTGCTTGTCTTCCATTGCATTAGGCATATTTTATACTGTAAGAGAGTTTGAGTTGGTTCCAAAAGCATCTCGGCTGTGAAAATAGGACCTGAAATGGTCTGCGGCTGCAGAGTGTCTAAAGCTCTCCTTTCTGAAGGGGAGGCAGATGAAACAGTAGGGTACAGGCGAGGTCTCCTTCTGCTAAACAGATGCAATGGGGCAGCAATTGTCATGGTCACAGGGCCATCTCGAAGCAACCCACATAAATACTCAGCCCTTGAAATAGAACTGTCCACTAATTAAATGCTAACAATCCAGGTATTAGGTACAAGTTTTACACTGATTTACCATGAAGTACAAAATTCAAAGCAACATTGAGACAGCCCAGTGGTCTGAGCCAGAGCAAGCCAAAAACCCACTTAAGGGTTTCATTCTGCATCGCCTCCTCTAGCAAATCTCCCCAGGGGAGAAACAGAACTTCAAGATCCAAACACGTTCTTTTAAACACTGGAAATCAATAACAAAAAAAATCACAAATCTTTGGGATATCAGTTGTTTTTGAAAGATTTCATGTTGGTTTTGTTGGGGGGGAGACCTCTGACTTTTGCTCATTTGTGAAAGGAATGAAAAGCGATCACTGAGTCAGCTTCACCGGTAAACGCAATAATGATACACTGTGTAAGGAGCGGAACATGTGGAAAAACATTTCTTGCTCAACAGCTCCTCCTACTGCTTACACGTGGCATGAAGCGTCAAGGCACGGTTTTCATGCATTGGTTGGCTACAGAAGCAAATAATCTGCTAATATAAACATGTATTGATCGTCTATTTAGTGTTATAATACACAGGAGTTTGGTATATTTTGCCTGATATGGAATAAAATGGGAAATAATTTGGGGTGCAAGAGAAAAGAAAGCAGCATACAACTTTCATTCATAGGGAATTTTCACAGTACCCAGAATTAAAATACAGAGTAAGATATTGGAAAAAGCACTCATTTTTGCGAGTCTGCACAATATCAACACTGTTAGCATTATCAGTTCTGGCTTACAATACAAAAACAATGGGTTTTGATTGCAAGAAGCCTCATTTTGTAAAGATACTTACAATGATAACTTAAATAATAATAATAAAAAATTATTTCGTTTACTCCACGTGTAAACTGAATTTACTACCATTTTACCCTGAGGA